CAGCAGCAAATGTGGCCACAGGTTGAACAACAGTTCGCCGAGAAGACGACGACCAAGTTTTCACCTCGCAGAAGTCTGTCCAGCCCAGCCCCTGACATCACTCGTGACGCGAGCATGATGTCAGTCAACACAAACGGAGGACGTCAGCCCGCTTCGCCCACTGCGAATCATCAGCCAATGACAGGCCAGGGAGTGGCAGGATCCGCCAAGGCGGCGCGGAGTGAAGGTAGAAATAATACAAAGGCTCCGCCCACAACGAATCATCAAACAATGGCAGCTCAAACTATCCGGAGTGGGCATGGCGATGGCAGAAATATGCAGGCTCCGCCCACAGCGAATCAACCAGTGGCAGCTCAGGCTGTCGGGACGAGGCGGGGCGATGGCAGAAATATGCAGGCTCCGCCCACAGCGAATCATCAACCAATGGCAGCTGAGACTATCGGGAGTGGGCGGGGCGAGGATGAGGTGGTCATTCAGCGCCACCTGACGGCGGAGGAGATAGAGGAGTGCCTGGGAAACGTGGTGCCTTCCCGCCGTCCGACGCATGACGTCACTGCCGAGCCGCGCTGTGAGTGGACAATCGTAGCAGACGAGACGCGGGACGACATGCCAGATGTTGGCGGGAAAAATCGCAGGTTCTGGAGAAATCAGGCGGAGGGGGGTAACGGGGGAGTGTCGGGAGGAGAAGGGGGGGTGAATTACGGATTTGAGAGGGGAGAGGGAGAGGAATCAGGAGGAGAGGGGGAGGGGAAGGAGGGGCAGGAGGAGGTAGATGACTCAATTCCACCCTACGTGCCCATTCGTCGCCAGAGGATCCAGTTCGAATCCCAGGAGGCGGTGGATGGGGAAGGACTGCAACACGGGCAGGAGGCGAGAACAACATGGGGTGAGTTTTGTGTGTGTGTGTGGAGGGGGGGTGTGGGTGTGGGTGTGTATGTGTAAATAAATAAATACATTATCCATCCATCCACTCATTAACAAATCAATTAATCAATCAATCAATCAATCAAATTATTATTTAGATTACTATATACCAAACAGCCAAACAGCCAACCAAGCTACCTCAATAATCAAACAAATAAATGCAAAAACATGCAAAGAAACAAACAAACAAACAAACAAACAAGCAAACAAAACAACAATCAAACAGACCAGCACTCCCCTCTCCACTGACAAACAGTTTAGTATTACTAATTGTTTAAAGGCACTTACAACACAATAAGGTCACATAAGTGCTGAAGATTAGAGGAGTCAAAAGAGAGTAACAAACATAAAAAAGAAAGAAGAGAGATAAGGACGATAATTGTTTGATAGGAAAGATGGAGCAAACCACACCAGAGTACCCGCCAACTACCCTACTGACAAACAAACAAACACACAAACACCCAAACGCGCCAACACTCCCCCGTCCACTGACAAGAAACAAACACACAAACAAACCAACAAACCAACACACAAACATTCCCCCCCC